AGGAAGAAACCTCCCTCTCCCCCAAGGGGGACGACAGATGCCTCGACCAGGTACCCGAAACTTGCCAAACTTTCAATTACCAGCGGTTTATTTTACGGGATGCGGACCTCGTTACGAGAATCACGCGAGCACGCGTTTAATCATTCAATCTCCCTCAACCATATCCCAAAATACACTAAAATCGTTCGAATTATATGTTCGAAGAAAATTTCAAGACAATTCCAATTTCGAATTTTCCAAGATTGATTTGACTAAATAATTAGAGGAATCGTGAATATGAACGGAGGGGGTTAAAATCGTTGAATTTACAAGACGATCGAGTCACGAGACAATTGAAACGACACGAGGAACGATTTTCGAAGGGAGGAAGAAGTCGCGTAGGTGAGGATCGATCGTGAGAGGAACGATGGCGAAGATACGAGCTGGAATGCTGTGTTGGAACGAAGGATACTTCCTCGAACACCGTTCGATTAGAATTACCGTCAATCCCAGCCTCCTCTGACATAAATACCAGGGATACACGCGTGCACTCGGTCGAACACGGGCGCACAATGGATCGACACAGAACTTTGGAACCGCCCTCGAGCGTCCCACAGACCTTTGCAGCTATTCATCGCTCCGCCTGGACCTTCGATAATTCCGAAACGATCTGATCATTAATCGAAAATCGCGGTAATTCGATAGATCCACGCCAGCTATGCGATCGACGTTGTGTGACGTTGCGCCTCGTTGCGCGAATAGAAACGGATAATAATTGGGATTCTAGAGAAAGCGAAATAAAACGATTTCCATTATTATTATTACCAATCTTTTCTCCAAAGATTTCTCGAAATCTGTTTCAGTGTTCACTCGTTGTACAGTTTTATTCACTTCTCCGTGAATCATAGTATCGTATAATCCTAAACTTTGTATCGTTTCGATTAATGACAGCCTTCCCGAAGAACGCTCAATCCGCGTTAATTTCATTAACAGAAATGCAACGGCCCCGGTGAGCAATACGGTTCGCCCCTTCCTTTCCTCGCCTTCCACCCTTCCACCCACGCGTGCGGCAGCTTCAAAGCCACTCCTTCCCCTCGATCAACGGCTACCGCCACACCAAATATACACGCACGCACGCACACACACACACACACGTCACGCTCGCGCGCGATCGTTATGAAACAAAGAACAACGTAAATTTACCAGCCACCTTGTATTCCGTTCCCTATCCGCGACACCCCTCCGTCGGTGTCCTCCCCATCATGGACTGTAATCCTCCCTACGAAACTTAGATCAATATGTTGCGTCACGTTTCGCCCCCTGCACGCCGCCCGACATCCATCCTCCGCCACCCACACCTTCGTCCACCCCGCGCTTCATTCCTGACCCCAGCCCCCTACCCTGAACGTGACGTCACGCAGGGACGCGCCCCATTCATAGGCTCTCTCCCACGCAGAGAGACGGAACCGCGGTGGCCGAAGGGAAATCGAAAGAAAGAAGAGAAAGGGGAGGAAGAGAAAAAGGAGAAGGAGAAGGAGAGAAGAAGGAAAGATTTGATCGTGCGTAATGTAAAGGAGGAAAAAAGGAAAAGGTTACAAGAAAAAAAGAAGAAACTAAAAGAAAAATTCAGGATTCGTTCAAATTTTGAAATCGGATGAATCGAAGAACCACTTCGTTCTTGGTTAGAAAGCTCGTGTAATTGAACGAATCTCGCGTATCGTGCCTCGCCCCTCTCTCTCTCTTTCTTTCTCTTTCTCTTTCTCTTTCTCTTTCTCTCTCTTTCTCTTTCTCTTTCACTCCACAATCAGCGCTCCCCAAAGAAACGTACGAGCGTTTCGTTCCAGCGGATCGATGATGTCGTAACGCGCGCCGTGACGTTTATCATCGTACTTGCGTGTGGCCCTGGTTGGCTCTATATATGTGTGAGTGTATATATGTGTGTGTGTAGGAGTTACTCGTTCACCGGGTGAAACCGATGACACGCACGTGCCGTCTCTCTTCTTTTCGGCCTGTCCTATATTTTTCGGGTGTATTAAACCGGGGAATTCTCCTCCTCGAAACATTGGGGTTTGGTTATCGCGAGAGGAAGTTGAAGAACGATCGATGAATCTCCTGTTTCGCGAGCGAGACGTAAGGAAGGTCTGGCTGGCGTAAGATACTTCCAACTGGAAGTATTTCAAAGGGAAAGGCGTTGAATCGAAGATTAAATATTTTCGAAAGTATCGTAAATTGTTGTTCCTCGCGAGGCTCGCTTTAACCGACTGCATAGCCAATCTTCCGTTTCTTAAGCCGCGGCAAAGTACGACGAAAGCCAATAAACTTGCAGGAAGTTGTAAACCGAAGTTCCTCGCGTCTGCCTCTATTATTATACCAACCCCCGGCCGGGATGAAACGCGCGCGCGTTATTATATATATATTCGCTGTGGATACGTACGTGTGTATGTACGTAACGGCCGCTCTTATTTTCTCCGCTCCCCGGATGCGCCACTTTCAAAAACGAAGTTAAATTACTCCTCTCGCCTCCCCTCGCCTCGCGTAACGGAATCGAATAAATGGAATCGTGGCATGCCCGAAGAATCGTTGACTAAACTACTGTCACCGTTAATCGAATTACGCGATCCATTCTCGGATTCTTTCTCTCTCTCTCTCTGTCTCTTTTTTATACAGATTCTTCCAGAAAATTTCTCTCTTATTTTCCAACGTTTTGCTTTAAAAATAAACTTGCGATCATGGAAAATTCATGAGATTAATTATATATATATATAAAATCGAGGCAAAGTTTCGACGATCAGTTCAATTACCATCGAATAATCTTATCTTATAATCTTATTCCAACATTTCGAAAATAACTTCCGATACAATTAATTATAACAACAACAATCCAACAACAAGCTTTCCATCGTATCCATCGTTCCATTTATCCAATTATCATCGATATCGCTTCAACGAACGAGAGGATATCGAAGAATATATATATATATATAAAGAGAGAGAGAGAATAAGAGAAATAAAATCTTCTCGAGGAATGCGAGAAAAAAAGATCATCCCTTCCTCCCTTCCTCTCCCTTTCTCCCGTTGACGATGAAAACCCTATGGAAATCGAGCGATCAGACCGGGGAAATAGAGGCGCAAAACAGGCGGGAAACGCTATTCGCTATTTAACGATGGCTTTACGCCCACATACGCTACACACGCGCGCGTCCGCGATAAGGGTTAATTGGTATAGCACGGGGAAAGGGGGCCAGCGAGGGTTGGTGAGAGTTGGACAGAGGGGGGGAGGGCAGAGTGCCGCTATAGGTCAATTATTTCCACGTATTTCAAGCGATACGCGGCCGTTATCGTCTTTCCCGATACCCGACCGCTCTTAATTGTTTCCAGGAAGTTGACATTTCCTGGCCTGCACTTTTAACGCCGGCCATACCGAGGGGGAGATGAGGGGATGGGGAAGGAGGAAGGAGAGATGTGTGTATGTATGTGTGTGTGTGTATGTGGAGTCGCGACAAAGACGTGTTTCGAAATCTTTCTCCCCCTCCGCTTAGAGAATAAATGGGCCGCCTTCAAGACGCGATAAATCACGGTGGCGCGGATCCAATTTTCCGCGAACATCGAGAAGATGGAACTGCGTGAAATCGCTGGAATCTTCGATAACGCGAGAACGAGACCTTCCTACGCCATTAAACGCCTCTTCCACCTCTATTGCCTTCGACATCGATCTAATTTTTCAACGTTTCTTCGCTTTTTCCTCTTACGCCTCCCCTTTCCTCCCTCCCTCCCTCTTTATTATTATTATTCTCTATTAAACAAAAAATTTCGTCTCCATCTTTTGGCTAGTTTAGTAAATTTTCAGATTGGAAATGGAAAAAATGTTGTAAATCTTTTTCGAATTAACCGGATCTCTATTTTATTTAGAGATATTGGTGCAACGAAGAATGCTAGAGTTCCACTGAGAAATGTATGGCGAGATAATAGTTCAAAGAGAATCGTAGCCTGGTTTCCGTTTCTGGTGCACTCAAGATCCCATTGATCAGAGTTATCAGTGGGGAGAGTCGAGCCAGTGACTCTGGTTTTCGGACCGGTTTTCACGCCATCGATTCGCGTGGGAGGACCTTCGCGTGCACGATCGACAATCTCGTTTATCGACCTGCGATGACGTCTCTCCTCTCCTACTCTCGCGCCGATTATTTCCTAGAAGTTTAAACAAATCCTCTCGCGTTATCGTTCAAACGATACCGCGCGGATACGGGGAAATTCGTTCGACCGATGGAAAAAATTGGACGATAGTTTTGCAATTAAGAGGATGATTCAAATATTTTTCGCATCTAATTTATTGGATTTTAGGAGAATTTATTTGGATTTTCGTGAGGGGCGTGAAAAGAACGCGAGCCTTGAAATGTCACGGGAGGCAAGGCGTTTCCGGTGCTCGCGCACCGAATGCACCGTCACAGAGGATTTTCCTTTGATCCCTTCATTTAGGTAATGAATCTTTTTTTTTTTTTTGGTCGCGCTAGACCTGACCGGCGCGTGGCGACAAATAAAACTTGTGATCCCTCAAAGCGTAGATGTTCACTAAGTAGCTTCCCCGTAATTAAAAGAAAAATAACGGATTATCCTGCCATCTTGCGCTTCGAAACTCTTTTTAACGTCCAATTAAAAAGAAAAAAAGAACAGGTAACGCGTTTAAAGCTTTCAAAAACCGGGGATAATTTCGGGAGAATACGAGAAGACACGAGTATTCTTCGTCGATTGCGCGATATCGATGCGCAAATATCGCGTTGGAAACTTTAAAGGACAGCCGATATGATGCGAGATAACCGATATTCAGGCCAGGTGTAAAGTTCAACGACAGCGGATCGAATAGTGGAAAGTTGGAGGCAATTAGTCAGTCTGAAACTCCACCCTTGAGTGTCGGGGCGTGAAACGCGAGCGTAAAAGAAAAAAAACAGTGGGGAATTAGACCGAGGAGAGGGCTCGATTCCTCCGGATAATATATCTTGCCGTTTCTTTCCCGATCTCTCCCCTACCTTGGTCGACCGTAGAGTGACCTTTCCGCCGCAGCGTGCGCAGCACCGGATGCTGCAGTAGTTGCAGATGTGACCGACGCCGTCGGCGAACTTGGTTTTCAGGCATATGTGACACGTGGCGTGCAACTCCACTCCCGCCTTCTTGTGTTTCTCCGAGCAGGCACGTATCCTTTCCTCGAGGATCTTCACCTCATCCTGCTTCCGTCTGCAAACGATAAGGAAGAATAATTAATCCATCTTTGAACGGAAATGAAATGAAAACGAAGGATTTACTTTAGAAGGAGAAGAGATCGATATTGAGAACGTTGGAGAGATGTTGTACGATGAAATCGTATTCCGACGGTACGATCGATTTAAAAGCATTATTTCATCGAGTTTCTTTGTTTCATACGAAACACGGGAATGGATGAAACAAGAGGGAGATCAAATTTAGAAACAGTCGACGTCGTATGCAAATTACAGACTAAACTAGACGCACGTTGCATTCGAGTAGGAATTCGTCGGAAAAGAAGAAGAGATTCGGGATCGCAGGGAAGACGTGTTCGTATCCAGCCTTCGTATATAAATATGTAAACGCGTTTGTATACGTACGTGCTCAGTTGCATTCTAACAACCCTTTCTTACGTAGCTTCGAGAATGGGATAGGAAGTGGAAAAGGAGGAAAACAGAGGAGAAAAAGCCAGCTTCTTCGAGCGTGGGAGGTTGGTTTCAGAAGAGTCGAGCCGCCATTAGACTCCTCGATAATTGCGGATCCTCAATTTTCGGAGGGTTCGAACAAAGCTAAGATACAGAGATCCGTCTCTTTCCCTCTCCGCGCCTTGGCCCGCCATTAAAATTCAACCGACAATCGTCCTTCGTCGAGCCGAGATTTTTCTGCAAATTGCAGCAACGGCGTCGCTCCACTTTTATCTGCCCTCTCCTCCCTCCTCCCCTCCCTCCCCTCCCCTCCCCTCTATCCTCGCCGTGATTTCGTTTACTAGCCAGCAGCTACTTAATTCCAGCCGCGTAACTAATTCGCAGCGCGACGTTTTTTTTAACCCTCGCTCGTTTCCGCTTTCACCGATGATTTTCAAGAGATTCAAGGGACCGAAACAACCATCGATTTTCATCCTCGTTCTCCAAGACTCTGCTAACGATTCTCCGACATCGAGCGGAGAAAGAGCTTACGTATTATTGTAGATATCGAGAATCGTCAGCTGCTCGAGCAAACAAAGAGACTAGAAGATCGAGTTCGATAAGTAACGTTCAATCCTCGTGCGAATGCACCCTCGTCTTATTGTGTCATACACTTTAGAAACTAGATGTCGACTATAGTCTTTCTATTTATGCATCGTATAAACGTTTCCTGTCGATAGAACCGGAGGAGATAACAGGTGGCAAAGAAATTTTATTGCTATCAATCCGATGGACGATGCAGAGATATAATCTGATCGATGAAAAGTCCACGCTTTCCAGCGTGTTCTGTGTCTATCTCATTCGCCACAACAATTTCTTAAACTTATGTTCGAGGAAAGGGATTTTGTCAAGGTATTCGATTTCAAGAAGTGATGGAATTATTCGCGAACGAAAGGAAGGAGCAAAATGATAATTCGTTCGATTAATGGGGGAAATTATTGGGAATATTGTGAGTACTTGCAGTTAGGAGGGAATGGTCAGATTTAATACCAGGGGAGTCGATTTATCGGCGAGGTGATTGAATTGGAATGGAATGTGACCGATGTCATCGATTTATTCTATCTACACCCAGCTTAGTACGTTTTCGTCGTCGAGAAATTCTGATACTGCTCAATCTGTACGTAGTAATTTTCCATCTCTCGTATCGCTCCTTTCCAAATAACTAATTTTAACGAACGACGCGCGACCCGATCACGAGAGAATTTTCTTTGAGAAGAGCGGTACTCGTAAACAATGTTAACCACTCTAATCACAAGGGATGAAGATGACGAGCAGGCAAGAGATATATCTGCAAGCCAAGTAGGTTGGGGCGAAAGATGGACGAGATGGAGGAAAATGAAAGAGACGGGAACACTTGGCACGAGCCTACGAGCTCTACCATCGCCACAAAGTCTCCGGATCGCGTGTACGCGGACGAAGGAAAGTTGGGAATCGCGAGGGTTGTTGGCACCAACGGTTTCGAACTTGGATCCCCATGCGAACGAATTTCCGTCGAATTCCTTTTGATCGTTATCCATTTTCTACCATTAGCTCCTTGCACAGAGAGGGAAGATCCTATATAACACGCCTATATTAAATACGTAGACGGCAGTCGATGGAGTTTCGTAGCGGAAATTTGCATGGAAACGGTAGCGAGCTACGGGCTACGAGCGGTAACCTAAATCTTGAGTTTGCCGATCGAGTCAAAGGTTGTGGCTGCATGTCACAAAGCATATATATATATATATATATATATATATATACACGTATAGATATAGAGACACACAGTGTACGTGCGCCCGCCCACGTTACTCTAATTGCTTTACCAATAATCGCGCGCGACTCACGAACACGCGACGACGATCGGTCGAGTTGAAACGGCTCGTCGTCGCGTTGCAACCGCGTTTTCTCGAGACACGATTTATCTGGAGAAAAAAAAAAAAAAAGAAAAGAAAAGAAAAAAAAATTCTTCCGCAACGAAAGAGAAGCAGATCAAAGGGAGAGAGGAACGGGCGCAGAAATGTAGGTTACTTAACGAACACCAACCGTGATTTACGCGCGACTTTTCCGTCCCACAAAATCCGCGCTACGCGACTTTTCACACGATGTCCCCGGCTACGTGCCTCGCCTCGAACAAAGAATCCCACCCTCTCCCCGATCTTTGCTCGACACGTCGAAACTTCCGTCCGTTAGACTCGCCGCTTCGTATTTTTTCTTTTTTTTTTTTCCTTTCTTTTTTTTTTTTTCCACGCCTCAAACTTTACGCCTCGTCTATTGTACGCGAGTTTTACAATATTCACGGATGGAAGAGGGAGGGGGAAAAGAAAAAAAAAAGAAAGAAAAAAATATCGACAATTGTTACAGTGTCGACATGTTAATGTGAAAGGTGGTGGTCGAGGAATTGGAGTTCGTTGAAAACGATCCGGCGTCGATTACGTCAGAAAATTATATCGGTGGGCACGCACGAGGCAGCGTGCCTAAAAGGGGCTGAAGAAAGGTTACGCGTCTATTTTTGCCCGTGTTACCTTCGGATGCGGCGACGAGATCCGTACCGAGGACTAAAATTATCATCCCGATGTCAAAGAAGCCTGGGATACTGGGAGGGTGGGGTGAAAGGGAGGCGAAGAAACGTAACCCACGTAGCGATAATCTCGGGGCTACCGCGTTAAAACGCGCCATCCTTTCGCGCGTGGGTCCAGCCTTCTATATTTCAGGATCCAAGAATTTACCGTGGCAATCCAACCCCTTTCACACTCCATCCACGGGCTGCATACCCTATGCATACCCTGTGCAACTACAGCAGCTCGTTACCGAGCCACGTCAAGGCTCGCTGCCTTGCATTTTACATGCGTCCCTACACGTACTTGTCGTCCACATTACATGATCTCGCATCGGTATGGCGAAGCACGCTTTCCTCATTACTCTCTCGCTTCTTCTTCTCCCTTTCTCTCGGTGCCCATCCCCTCTTTTCTCTCTTTCTCTCTCCCTATCTCTTTCCCGATTCACTCCTCTTTTATCCCCCGTGTTCTTTGTCTCCTTCCCTCTGTCTTCCACCGGCTCACCCTTTCTCACTCTTCCTCCCTCTCCTTCTCTCTCTCTTTCTCTACTCTACGTCTGTCTCCATTCCCCGCTCGACTGCTTTCTCACGTTCCCGTTTTCCATCAGCGACAACCTATCAATAAAACGCCTTCCTCGAAGAACACCGTCCATTTTCCTCGGCGTCGCCTAGCTGCGACTCTGGCACCGTAATTACATGCGAATGAGGCTGCTGGCGCATCCATCACCGGCTGCCTCTTGCAAATAGGTGTAGAGGGGAGTAGGTTGCCTGTTAAAAGGGTCAGTTTTCGTTGATTCCTTTCGACGTTGGTTGGAAAAGTTTAAGGCGGGGTAGTTTGTAGAGATTTAAAACGCGTTTCGAGCGCGTTTATACGAAGCGCGAAATTAAAAAGGAAACTTTTTATTTTCGAGTTGAAAACTTCATTGCATTCGAGTAATTTGATTTGAATCGGAACGAAATAAATTGTTTTATTTAATAATAATTGAGATTACGAGTATTGAAACGATAGATGAGAATCGACGGGATAATTATCCGAGGTAACGGAACGAATAATCTAAATAGGGAATAAGGGAAGATGCGATGGATATAAAACGGTCAAGGACTAACGAGCAGGTAAAGTGGAGAAAATAGGCGGAAAGCCACGTCGGAGGGGACTTTGGTCAAGAAATACACGTATTGGATCGATCGGACATCGTTTCGCTCGTTCAGTAATTCTGATCAACGACGCGTGACCGTCCATGGTCACATTTTTGTAGCTCTGCCTAGCCTGCCTAACCATTCAGACTTTATACTACTTGTCGATGTGGTACTTCGCCCCTCAATTTGCTCGTTTTATTGTTTATTGTTTAGAGAAACAATGCAAAAGCATCTGATTTTTCACGAGGAAGGCGTGATGATATATGCGTGCGCAAATAAAAAAAGAATTAAACTATGGCAAACTATATAAAAAATTGATAAAAGCATAAAATTGATAAAAGCGAACGTTCTTTAGAAATCATTTTACGTTTTTCATTTTCGAAGCGAGTTGGAAAAAAAAAAGATATTTCTAATAAAAAAAAAAAAAAAAATGTATTTCGCATATCACCATTCTCTTACTCTTGGTTACTCTTTGATAGACCAAAGATAAATTGATGCATCGTCTCTTTATCATCTCATCTCATTGGATACAAAATAAATGCAAAGATTATGTGTCTTTAGAAACTTTTTCCACATAATTATAATGATAATAGAAAAAAAAAGAAAGAAATTAATAAAAGGAAGAAAAAAGCGAGCTTAATAAAAAAAAAGGAAGAAATAAATAAATACGAGCACACGAAGATAATAGGATATCAGCACTAATCCCAGCATCATTATCGGAGAAAAAAAAAAATCTGGATGAAAAAACCGACCTACCTCATAATCTCATTTTCCTTCTCCTCCTCCTGCTTCTGCCTTATTATAACCTCCTCGATGGTGCTCCTCTCCTCGGGGGTGAGGTGCGACATATCAGGTACAGCCGCCATCACGGACGTAAGATAGGAACGTGCACGGGAAGCTCTAATCGCGAGGAATTTAGCGCGACGCGCGGGCCGGCGCAGCACCGACGACGCCGCCGATGAGGTACCGCGACGAGGATCGCTCGCCGCGCGATAACGCTCGTTCCTACGGGATATCGCGTCCTTTCTACGACTACGGGAAAGCTGTAGCGTACGGGGGGAGTCATCCGACACCTGGTAATCGGCGCAGCTGGCCACGACAACACGGGTACGCCTTCGGCGAGCGTAGATTACTCCGTGCTCGCGCTTTTGCGTCCTGCTTCTGTCTTTTCTCTTCACGCGTCTGTTCTTGTTGTTGTTGTTGTTGTTGTTGTTGATGGTGGTGGTGGTGGTGGTGATGGTGTTGCTGCACGTCACAGCACGAGCGGCGATCCGTGACGATCGGTACGAAGGTTGGAAGCCCGTCCACGACGACGACCACCACGTTCGCCCAACGTTCGACTGGACAAGAGGAAGCCACTGCTCGACACCGGACTCTCTTGTTCGTGCGCGCCTTATCGTCCGCCTCGAGGCTGCCTCTCATGCGAACGTCATCGAGATTCGTCGAGGCATGGACGCGACCTTGGCTAGATCCGTGATCCTCGTCTCCGTCGGTGTCCTCGTCGTCGTTGTCTCTCGTCGTACGATTACCAGCGACCGCATCTGTATGACAAATCATGTTTCACAGGCTGTGTGGAGGTTCTCGCATTCTCTCTTCCGTCCCCGGTCCTAGTTCTCCGCTCGAAGCCAGCATGGAACGATGCGAGGATTGTCCCCAGGTGTTCCTCGAAAGCGACCTTCGACGAGCTTCCTCCTCGCGTCCTCGATATGGCGGCTGCGAGGTTAGAATGTGCGCACTGCTCTCCCTCGCTATGCTCTCTAAACTAATGCTCCGATTCTTCCCTCTCTCTCTATTCCTCTTCGTATCTGGTTATCGTGTATCGTGTACGAGATAGCCTGTCTGATCGGATTTGTTTACTCTGTTTCCACTGTTTTGATGGTCGAACACCTCGCGAGGTATCGAGGTTTTCGAGCGGCCCAGTTCACGAGTACATCGATTGAAAACGAAAACGGGTCACGGGTGCCGTTGGTGCACTCGTTTCTGCCGTACACACGAAGCCCAGGTTCTTGAACTTTGCAGGGGAATACGCGATTCTATACACGGCAGGTAGAACGCTTCTGCCGTTTAAAGAGAGGGGCCAGTCCGCGTTTCAGCACGAGCCAAGTGTCGCGTTGACGGCCGCGCGACCAATCGGGAACGATGCGATAATAATGGCTACGTGGTCATGTTTCTGGCCTCTGTGAAACGGTTTTCGGAATTTCATACGCTCGCATACGGAAACGGATGTCACTGGATATCCCTGTACTGGACCTCGGGTTCTTTCTTCTTCATTTTCGAATCGTACACAGAAAAAACACCCTTCTTTCTTCCTTCCTCTTCCTCTTTAACAACTATGTAAAACAGTATAGCCTGTCGCGATGATAATCGATTCCTTTCAAAACGTCGAAGCGCGATCAAATTTTGCATCGAACGCAAAATTTCACAAGCATAGTCGAGGACAGACGAATTTTTCGAAAGAAAAGGGACACGAGACGCGCTAATTCGTACGAACGCGTATACGCGCAACCTCGATCGTTCGAGGAAATCGAACGCCACGTATGTCGATGCCTTCGTTCCAGACGATATTCAACGCTACAAGTATTCTCTTCTCAATGTTTGCGATTCACGTGGCGGCCGAGACGATGATGGCGCTCTTCGACGTCTCTGCAGCGACCGCGACACCCACACAATCAATCGCCCTAGACCGGATCGTTCCACACCCACGAGAGACGTTTTCTCAGCTGACCGGCTGTTCACGAAGGTTTTCGAGCCGCGTTCGAACGATTAACAGCTCACCTCGTCAGCTGTTCCCTCATTCTCGAAATCCCCCAAAGACATATTATTCCCACGGAAATATGGATTCTCGTGTTCTCTCTTTCTCCTCGTTCCGTTCCTCGCCAAATGTAAAACGGGATCACTTACGGGTGTTATCGCAGGTTACTCTCTGCCCGACTCTCGGTTTATCGTTTCCTCGCACTGATTACACACGCGAGTACACGTTAATAACCGTTTCGAGTACGGTGGTTACGGCGTATGGCGAAGCGAACGATATTCTCTCACTTCCGTGTTTCAACGGTTCCCTTCTCGCCAACGCTCGACGCTAGAACAACACACGAATGAGCTTATTCCACACCCCTAGCGCGCTTATGTCCGCCAACGCTCCGCGATTGGTACTACTCTCACTGACGGTTCGGTCTCTCCTTCTCGCTCTTTCTCCTCCTCCTCCACTGCTCTCTCTCTCTGTCTTCCTTTCACCTTTTCTCCCACCGATTCACCACATCTTTCTCCCTCTCTCCCTCCCTATCTCTCCCTATCTCCTTTCCCCTTTCCCTCGTCAATCTAGCTCCTCTCTTTCTCCCTCTCCCTCTTTCTCTCTTTCTTTCTCTTTTTCTCCCTCCCCTTTCTCTTCGTCCCTTCACTTGGCTCGCGCACGGCACTGCCTGCACCTCTTGCCAACCCTCTCCGTAACGGGCTGAAACGAGAAAACCGGTCTCCGCGAAGGGGGCTAATTTCCGGCCGCGAATCGACTTCCTGTGAGGATTCTGGCGTCGAAATCGCGCGACCCACCGACAGGCCCTTGGTTCCATTCGCTGTCGTACATGGGAAGAGAAAAAAAAGAAACGGGAACAGAGTCACCGAGACCGCGGAGAGAGCTCGACCCTCCTTCGTGGCTCGTGCTTATGTACGACCGCAGTTGCGCGAACCATTCACACCCCCTCCCCTATGTGTTTGTCCATTCGGGACAACTACCCGGTCTGCAAGGAATTCGGCTTTCTTCCATTCCATGTGGCAGAGACCAAAGTGGGCAGACAGAAACATCGTCCCGAAAGGACGTCTGTCGCTCGCGAACACATCCATTTCTCTGTATTTTAGAGAGTTGTGCATCTTCCAGATTTTAACCCTCGATGATGGTTAAAGCGAATTCCAGGAGTTCCATGGAGTCGATCGCTGAGAAACGTCCATTCATGCGGTCTTAATAAATAATGGGATGCGGTGTATGTCCGAACCAATAAGGACCACAGGCCGCACTTACGTCATGGAAAACTTGGTATTGATCGCACCCTAGGCCAATGGGGTTCACCGCCGCAACGGTGTTACTTTTGCCGTTCTGGCGGTGAATTCGAACGCCATCGAACACTATCACGATCACCACTGTAACCCGGGAAAGTATGAATTTTTCTGGATCAAAATTTTGAGAGTCGATTAGTTTAAAAATTATATCAAGAGGAATATCAATAATACATGAAGATTTATGATATATGAATTTGTTTCAAGGTTCGATTCGATGAATTTAAATTATTAAATGAATGATGAAATAGTAAATAAAATGATAAAATAGATAAAATGCGATTGTTTGGTTGGCGAACGTCCGACGTAGAATATATTAACACTACTAGCACGGCTGACTAATAATGATAATAGCCACTGTATTAAAGAGTAATGTTGCTCTTTCTTTATTATAAAATTTAGCAAAAAATTAATTGGATAAAAATAATTTTCTAAGTATTCTATGTAAATTAGAAAAAAAGTTTCTTCGACATTCGATACATCACATAGATCACATATTAAATATCGATCGATCAAGAGCAATATTAAAATCAACTATCATCAACAACCATTATCTCAAAGTGGTAAACTCCGCCAACCAATTTCGTATCTGTTTTTGTAATATACAATAGTATTTGGATACGCAAGATTAATGATATCTGGAGCAAAGCCAATGATATCAAAACATATCTTTCGTATGCGAGAACTAAAATCAAAATACTATTCAATTTTATAAAGTAAATAGATTTTAATATACAATCATAAATAATATATATATTCTTATTTTTTTCTTTCCTGAATTTAATTCAGGTTGAGTTTACAATCAATTGCATAATATTCGATGTAAAATCGAATTTACAAATTCACATTTGTTTTCGCATATATCATGTTTTGTAATAATTGCAATAATTGTTATAAACAATGATATGTATAAACATTAGTTGTTAAGCGTATTATAAGAAAAAAATTAAATCCGAAAAAACTAACTTAAAATAAAAAATTGTACTTAATTTTAGAAATTTGGCACATTAAAATGGCATAATAATAAAAATATCATTGAAATATAAATATTGACGATATAGAATAAGAAATAAAATAATATAATTATTTTAATAGATTGATATAAATAGTTTTCATCTATTTTTTAATAAAAGGGGCACTTTCTCTCAATTTCATTTAGAATACATTTCCATATTTGTCACAACGCGCATTAATATTTAATTATATTCATTTAGTTATTTACAAGTATAAGTTATTTGCAAACAGATTGTTGTTATATACAAATAGATTATTGTACAAATCGTAAAGTGCAATACGTTGTATTCATATACCCCACATAAAATAAGACTGACGTATTTTTAATCTGATCTTATATAAGATATATATTATAAGATATGTATACATTTATGTCATAAAATTATTGATATATATATATATACGACATAAATATATACATTTCAATAACTTATTTTTTATTTTCCTATCTGGTGCATCGTAAAAATAAACTCAGTTTTGTAAATTAATTTATTACGCTTCATCGTAAATCATTAAAATCGGTACGATATACGTTATGTATACAACGACGTAAAAAGAGTTCGTACTATATTTTATATTCTCTATAATATATGTATACAATCGACAATCTTTCATCATTAAATTTTACTATAAATTTCGAATGTGCATTTTACTCAATCATGTACATTGATAAAAAAAAAGATACAATAAAAAAGTAAGGACAATAAAAATTCTACGATATTTGTTTCACATGTTAATATACTTCATAGGAAATTCAGTTAAAATGTTATCAAAATCATGTAAATTTTATCAAGTAATATTTACTTGTATGTTAATATTTCTATTTCTTTTCCTTTTATATAAATTTAAAACATTTCTGTTTGTCATGTGGAATTCTTGTTTTAAATAATATTGAGTCAGCTCGATATTGAGTATTTAAAAGAGGCATATATCCAAAAACCTGAAAGTATTAGAATTTTTACAAAATATTTAATTATAATTCATTTCGTATTTCATTTTGGACATATATTTAAAATTGTAAAAAAAACTTAGAATATAAAAATAATAAAACCTGATTTACCTGAGAGAAGAAATTGATGCATTTGTGCCTTTCTTGAAAATGCGTATCATCTTCCGAAAGAGAAACAGGACAACCAGGACATCTAAAAGTCCATCGAGATGTGACCTAAACATAAGAAAAATTAATTACTAAAAGCATTCCGAAAATAAATATATTGTATATATATTATAATCACTTTAACAGGTGGTTTTCTAGTAAGATGAGATATCAGAAAATTCATAGCGATATCTTCACAATTCATATATTCGTCAACTTTGTCCCGGATTGCTTGTGGTAACCAATGTGTATATAGATATGTATAATGTTTATGAATAAATGCAGCACCAGTTAAAACCATTGATAATTCGCATGAATAATTAGAATTGTAGTTCCAAGCATTGTGATAATTCTGGTCCCATGCATGAAAGCGACCGGGAAATCCAACAACACGATCTCGATGTTCTCTCCATACTCTGAATCCGAACATAATTTCATCATGTCGTAAATGAGCATCGTCGTCTACTGAAAGAACAGCTTCCGTTTCGATAGCATCAAATGGTAAAAATCTATTATTTAAACTGTTCCTTGGAGCCTTGATTACCTACATACAAAAAATTTATTTAATTTTATTCATAAGAATAATATAAGAATTCTAGTAAAACTTACATGAATTGGTACTCCAATATCAGGCCACTTTAAATCTTCCATAGGTGGTTTTGGACTATTCCATACTACTAGAACTTTATTTAAATATGGTAATCCATACAATCGGGCCAAAGAATTTATAAGAACTTGTTCTCGTTCATATGTTAACATCACAATTGTAAATTGTTCTCTGGGATAATTTCCGCCTAGAGCTTCGCTAAATTCCTTACCCGCACCTCCAGCACCTTTACCAATCGGCCTGAATCCCATTTCAGAACCTGTGATTAGTAAGTATTTTAAAATTTTTATTTTCGAATATTATTTTAGAATTTTAGAATATTATTATATGTTAAAAATTGATTTACCAAGAAATTTTGCATCGCTAGGAAGGACGGTATCAAAAGGTAATTGCGGATATAAATAAAATGGATCCACCCAATCATTCCAGATTTCATGACCCTGAAGTAACATTGTAGTATAATTTCTTTTAAATGCAGGAGATGGATAAGGTGGTTCCAGAGGTCCTAAACTTTCTTCTGCTTCTGGTTCAGCGATAATAGTATCAGATTTTAAAGGCTAACAAAAAAAAATGAAATTATTATGCATGATATAAAATATATCAAATCATTTTATGCTATAATATATATTTACCACAAAGCTTTCATTAAAGACACTTGGACTGGCAGTTTGAGGTGCTGGCAAAGGTGGTATACCGAGTCGATCTCTAATTACAGCTACAATAGTATCTACCGCACCTTGAGCAGTACTTAAATAACGTTCCCATATTAATCTACCTTGTCTACGCATACTTAAAAGATCAGTGTCGAGAACCGCACGTAATAGGAAATGCATTTCTGTTACCCTGGCCTGAAATTCAAAACAAATCTAATAATCAAAAGCAATATTATATTAAAAATATCATATTTATACCTTTGGCAAAAAGATAGCTGCTCGTCTCCAACTGATAACTTCACTATAACTTAATAAAATTTGATCACCACCTAAAAAAACTGGGATAGAACCCGATCGTAATGCTTCATACAACCTAGCTTGCATAGATGAAGTGGTTACAAATGATGTATTACTAGGAGCTAAAATTAAAACAAATGTTGATTCTTTCAATATAGCTTTCCTTGAAGAATCTGTTCCACATAAAGACCAGTCAAGTATTTCTACTACATTTTTTTCTTCAGAGGCTGGTATACATTCAAATTGAATGAAAAATTTATCCAAAGTTAATCCTGTACTCATATCTTTAAGATGTTGTATAATAAAAGCATCCAAATTATTTTCATCAATTGTTAATTTTTCTATATCTATATCTGCATCATCAATTTGATGTGTCATGGTAGTAATTTTTGGAGATCTCATTTCTCCTTGAAAAGATAATAAATATTTTCTTCTTGCTGGCAACATCTGTGCACATTCTTGCCAGACATCACCACCTGGAGGTCCTAAAATTGGTGGGACAACTAAATCAAATCCCTCGCGAAATTGATTTCTAAAGAATGTGGATTGTACTATTATAGCTCTTCCCGTATCTATTCCACTAAAAATATCACCAGATTCTACAGATAAATCTCTACGTGCTAAATTTAATAAAATATGATTTCTGCCATCTCCACCCCAATATGGGAGTGCATGTAATTTTTTTACATCTATAGGTTTACGAAATTTTTTGTCTACTTTTTGTTGAATAGAGAGAGCTTCCCCTATGAGTACTATATATATACAAGCTTCAGCTGCATTTGTAGTGAGATGTGGATTATATCCTATAATAAAATAAAATAAAAAAAATATATAGATATTAATATATATACATTATAATTATAAATTATTATTTATGTTTTAATTATTATAATATTTAATATCTATATATACCTAATGTTTGTTTTATAGTAGTTTTTAAAAATCCATCAACATCCCATCCAGAATTTACTACAGAATACTGATCAGGATCATACAAATATACTGGAAAACCACTAGTTAATGCACACCGACTGTGATCAAAACAATTATACATTCTACATGAATGTGATACAGTATTAGGTAATACTACAGGAACAGAATTCATTAATATACGTTTAGGTGGTGCTAATTCTGGTGTATTTCTTTCCACTGCTTCTCTTTGAGCTACTTGTGCTTGTTCAACACTGATCTTTAATCTATCAAGATCAGTTTGTTGATGCAATAATTCTTGTTTTAATTCATCAATTTTTTGAGTTAAACTACTAACTTCAACTTGAAGTCTTTGCCTCTTTGCACTCAGATCCCTAAGTTCATTATTTACAGAAACTTTAATACGCAACATTTCTTCTATTCTCATCTTCAATTGAGAAGCCTTCATAGGAGTAAAATCTTCAAAAGCCTCCAGTGTGGAGAATGTACGATAAATATCTTTATCTGGGGAATCAGATTCCACCTAAAAAATATATATAAAATTTAAGATTTTGAATCAATTATAACATAATTCTATTTATAATTTATAATTTCTATTTATGTCCAAAAACAATACCTTTGATAAATAATAATGAGTGAATAATGGTACAATGAATAAAACAGCAGATGTTAACATTATAATTCTAGATAATTTAATATGTGTTATCCAATGACAAATTTCTCTACCACTTCCATTTTGATGGTATAATGGAAGTATTTCAAATATACTTCCTCCCATCATGTTATAGATCATTCATGTTTATTTAAATTTCAAATTAATAAACTTATTTTGTAATTGTTTAACAAATTCCTGCTAACACATTAAGAAGATAAATCATTAAAAGAAACACACAATCTTATATTTAATAGTTTTATTTCACATAGAATATTAACATCTTTTTATAGTAATAGTATTTTATAAATATCAGAATTATAATATTAATAAATATATTTCTTACCAAAAACATGATAATTGTAGAATTTTTATTGACATTATTGATCAATAACCTAAAAAGAAGATATCCTTTTTTCACATATTTTAAAATCGCAATCGAATATCGCTATAAATAAATCATTACAATATTATTATAAAAAACTCAATAAATACATTTTATTTTATATATACACATTTTTATAAAAAAATAATTCATTCACATAAAATAGGTAAAGAGAATTGTCAAAATCACAATAAGATCAAAGAATCACATGGAGACAGCAATTTAAAAAACAATATCAATATTAATAGTGCTATTTTTTCATTAATGTTTATTCATTCTCTTTTTGACGTATGTCCTTGTAACTTCGTATATGCATTCATTTGCGTGGGCCAATATTTACGATAGCGTTTTGTTGTTATTTCATGAAGACTTCATCCTTGACTTCTACCTAATACAAAAAAGAAAGATTTCGTACCGATGCCACCCGACGTAAAACAGAATCACGTGACATTTTCGATGTTTTTTTATCTTATTATGTCGTAAAATGTAGTATTTAATAAATTAAATGTAAATATTTTAAATAACCCGCGATATTGTTCTCGAAGTTGCTTTCCTTTGGCAACGTCTGGTGGCATTGCTTATAGTCTTGTTGGTGTATTTGCATTTCTCAGGACCTTCACAGAACATGCGCATGTTCATGTCAAGTGTAGTGCAAAGGAAATAATATTTTGGCTTTCGGGGGCCTAAAATTAGCTAAAATGGTGAGCTCTTAATAAATTTATGGATTATGTTAATCCAACGATCTTTAAAAACAATTTTGCTAAAAAAGTATATTTTGCTTTTTATGTTCTCGACAGTGTATTAAAAAATGTTAAAATAACCTATCATGAGTCAACGTTAATGTTCCCTTTTACACTAAATACAAATCAATTTCGTGGCATATCTTGTGACTAACGACTTTGTGAAGAAGTGCATGAATTTTTTATTGCAATAGAATACATTGTTATTTAAAAATTTTCAAATTTGTTAATATTCTTCACTGAGATGTTACTCAAAGTAGTAACAATAAATCGTAATAAAATCTTTGTTTATGAGTTCTTTTCGAAGTTGATTTTATTATTACAAATAAAAAGAAAATTTATAACATTATAATGTATATATATAACTTTGATAATAAATTATTTATTTAATATAATATTTAATATTATATAATAGAAACAGATGATAAATCTTTCTTATATTAATCTTTAGAATATATGCACAATAATGTATCTAAACTAATTTTTGTTGCAGCATAAGTTAAAGTTCTCACAAAGAGATAAAGTAAAGAAATTCATTACATTTACACATACTGGAGAACAAACTGCAATATATTGTTTAGCACAAAATGATTGGAAGCTAGACTTGGCAAGTGATAATTATTTTCAAAATCCTGAGGCATATTGTAAAGAACCAAAAAATACAGTAGATAAAAAGAAATTAGAAATATTGTTTAGTCGATATCAAGGTAATTTTATGATTCATTTTTTTTTATATGTAATAATAATATATATATAAAATTAAAAATATGTTCATAATATTTGATTTCATAATTGAAATAGATCCAAATGAGCCTGATAAGATTACAGCAGATGGAATAATGAAATTTTTGGATGATTTGGATTTAAGCCCTGAAAGCAAATTAGTATTAATAATCGCATGGAAATTTAGAGCAGAAACACAATGTGAATTTACTAAAGATGAATTTATGAATGGAATGACAGACTTAGGGTAAATCAAATTTTTTTAACTTTGTTTTAAAATGTTTAATTTTGTTTTACATTATTTTAATATAGTTTTTTAAAATTATTTTCTAGTGTTGACAGTATAGATAAATTAAAAGCTTGTTTAAGTAGTTTAGAAAATGAATTGAGAGATCCTCAAAAATTTAAAGACTTTTATCAGTTTACATTTAATTATGCAAAAAATCCAGGACAAAAGGGTTTAGATCTTGATATGGCTATTGCTTATTGGAACATTGTATTAGATGATAAATTTAAGTTCCTGCCTTTATGGTGCCAATTTTTACAGGTAGGATATTTAATATATACATATATATATATATTATTCATATATATATATATTTATATATATATATATATATATATATATATATATATATATATATGAACTTCTTACATAATATAAATATTGATTAAGCCTAAAAAGGAGGCTTCCATATTGGTTAGGTAAATATTATGATACAAAGTAGTTAACACTATTTTTTAGGAACATCATAAGAGGTCAATTCCAAAAGATACATGGAATTTATTATTAGATTTTGCACTTATGATCAACCCTGATATGAGTAATTATGATGAAGAGGGAGCCTGGCCAGTACTGATAGATGATTTTGTAGAATGGGCACAGCCCCGAATTCGTCAGTCCCTCTAACATCTTTTTGTTACATCTTTAACTTCATATAAAACAAAGCTTTATTTATTCAATTATAAAATCGTATATTCTTCAAGTGAAACTTGATCATATTTTTCTGATAGAGCATCATTTTACTTTGTGTACAGAGTATATGATGATGAAGCAGGAGTATTATAATTGTTAGGATCAATCTAATGTATAATAATTCTCTCTTTCTCTCTCTATAATGTAAACAAATTTATGTGTGTATATATATATATATATATATATGTATGTGTATATATATATACATATATATATAATTCATAAAAACAAATTGATTTCATAAATAATTAGAATTTCTGTATTTAATTCCAAAATTATTAAAATTTTACATAAGAATCCCATTATTATACATCTGTCTGTACAAAGTAATATGATGTATAATCAGTTTGTTCGAAAAAATAACAGTGAAAAATGCTCAATTATCGACTGTATTTGCAAAATCTGAAGAAATCGCTGACTGTGTTCCTTTGCACGAATTTGGCTTCAAAAGGAGAAATCATAAGAAAGATTCATTTATATCATTTTGTAGATAGTAATTTCTAGAAATTGCGTTGTTAAAAATTGTTATTAAATAAATTTTACGACACTCTACAGAACACTTGTAATATACATACAAAAAAAAAAAAGAAAACACAGAGAGAAAAATCTGTATTTTAAACAAAACGTTATTTCGGCACTCGTATACTTATCTTTTTTACTATCACCAATTTAAATGGTGACAGAAAAAGATTTGTTTCTGTTTTATTAGTGAAGAATAATATTTATATTGTAATTCTGAGATATAATAGCTGTTAGGGAAAATAAATTAAGAATTTTTTACAAGTTTAAATTATGGGTTTCATTTACAATTATTGCAGATTGAATATATTTTTTTATATCATAAAAATAATGGATATAAATATTTATTGGTTTCAAAATTTACATAAATCAAATGTATATCAAATTGTTAAGAAAGCAAACAACTGATGAATCCTCATAACAAATTTTTTGTTTATACTACAAAGTGTTGTAGTTATTAATAACATTTTAAGTTTTATGTTTTCTTTCTACTTCACAATGCAATGTGTGTGATTAATGCTTTTGTAGCTTAGCAAAGTACACAAATTTTCAAAACTACTAATCATTTTAATTTATATATAATGCAAAAAAATTACAGAAACATAATGTAAAGAAATATATATCTCTGCAACTTCATGGTTAACAATTAAGAAATCAGAACATTATATCTGTTTAGGTATACTAACATTGAAAGGTGCAAAGTAGAGAATTAGCAATATAAAAAATATGTCGTCCAGAAATTTTGGATTATATTTTATAAGAATGTTAAAACAGTTAAAATGAAGGTTCTGATATATGCATTCTTTATAAAAGGAAGAGTCCAGTAAAATGTTGTCAAAAGTATGTTTGTGCAATGCAAAAAAAAAAATCACAATGTATATTACATTAATTTAAATGATATTAAGAAAAATACGATTTTCAGATTTAAACTACGTTATTTTTTTAATATTTTATGCATTGCGCGAACATTAAAAGATTGTAATAGTTTTAGGAAAAAATTGTACATAATGTAAATAAATCTGTCAGTCTTAATCTACATAGTATGTGTAATTAAACAAAAAATACCGTAATCATTATATTATAATATTTAGTTTCAAACAAAACTATTTAAATATAACAGTAAAATAAATTTTTACTGTTATATAAAATAAATTTTTAAACTTTATATATAAATTTTACTTTTTTTTTAGTATTTTTGTATAGCTTTTAAAATATTTACATATGCACACTTAAGTGTGTAGAAAAGTAAGAATTATTTTACTAGATTATTGTTCTCTGCAATGACTGCCACAGTTGCATAAAGGATTACAGCCACAGCATTGTGAATTGAATGGATATAAAAATGCTAGCTCATATTGATTTGCTTCTGTATTGTAACATTCATTTAATATATCCTCTGTGTACCAATTGCATAAATGTTCCAACTTGTCTATAGTTGTCTACATTATTTTTTTTACTATTAATATGACATGCATTACTATCATTTAAAAATATTGTAATATTTATTAAATATCAGTCTTGTTATATATAATTATAAATCCTTACCTGTGCAATAACTAATCCCCGATTTGGATTTACAATTGTACTATGACTATGAGAGTCAAAAAAAGTTACCTATAGACAAAACTTTCATGAAACAAGATTTTTATAGACTTCACAAAGCTGTTCTTACCATATTTTCTTGAAATATGAATAGTACTGTACGCCCACAGGTAATAAGAAGCATAAATAAATTCTTAGATCTTGGTGCTAAATACCATTTATGTAAAAAATCATTTATATGTTGGTATAAACCGTTTTGAATCCTTTCATAAAATACTTGAAATGTCTATAACATAATTGATATGTTTTAATATGTCAATATATCTTATGTTACATAAAAACATTTTAAATCAGAAAATTATCAAAGAAAAAACAATAGAATATATGTTTAATTTGTACCCATTCTCTTAATAGATTTAAGTTTCTGCCTCCAAGTTTTAATGCTTCTTCTGTACTAAGATACGGATGAGAAACCAAACCTTTCTTAACAATCCATGCATGAATGTTATTACCTTCTATCATAGCTTCAGCTATGATAGCAATAAATTGAGGAGATTTTTCTATATTATATATTAATAATCCTGTTTGAGATATTCGTTGAGCAACAAGAAGACAAATCAGAGTACATGCTTCACTAACTAGAATAGAAAATTATATATCATTCGAAAAAATGAAATTAAAATATAAAAAAAAATTTTTTTTTACTTGTTTGTCCTGGAGGAAATCGACTTTGTGAAAATTCTTGATTATACCAAAGTACTACTACGCTATTTTTAAAATAGTTCTTCGTATACGAAGAAAAGTAAGAATTGAGTAATAGCGATAAGGACATAACTTTTCATGGAAACTTCAGTTGATATGCCATTTATTACTTTTAAATTTTATATGTGAAAGCATTTTTTCTTATCTTGACTTACAAAAGATTTCATGTTCCGTCTATTAAGAGCCATGAAGCTGGTCGAATAACGAATTTGTTTTTGAATTCACACAAATCAAATTAAAAAGTTATAATGCAATATATTTATGTACACACCTTCATACTGATAAAACAAAATTAAAATCTTATTACGTTTACAATATTGTATTCCGAAAACAAGATATTCTATTTCTTTTTATAAAATCAATATCTTAAATATAAATTTCATTAGTGCATTTATTATTTGTATCTCGACTTGTAATCGTACATTATTGGCATTCCACCAATGGTATGCGCAATGCGTGTTATTTAATTATTCTCCAATTATTGAATTTATAATATTTTTGTTACATTATGTGAAAAAATATGAATCATCTTTTACATTTTACATTCATTATAAAATTCAAATAGAGTTTGAATTATTTTATCTTTTTCATTATATACATCGGTTCATACTTAACACTTATTGCATAAAGTGAAAAAAATATCTGTTATATATAACACAATGACAACAAAAACTGAGTATATTGTATATAGATTTCACAATCACACAAGTCATGTATACAATTATAAATAACAGAATTCAATAAGATAAAGTTACTCTATGGATATAAAGAAAATACCTGTATGTATACACATGTATATATATATATATATGTATATATATATATATATAATATATATTTATTTACATTTAATATATTGTAAAAATGGAAAAATCTAAATGATTTCAAATGATACATATTATGTTAATTGAAATGAGGTATTCTCAAATAACATATTATTGTTCAAAGATTTTAATATCTAAATTTATAATAATTTCTATGATATTACGACGCTTCTTTCTTCTTTTGATGCATTAAGCATCATAAAAATGCACTATTAGAAACAATGATACTTCTGATAATATAATCTTTCTGTGCAAGTACACATACATGTATTGTCATATTTTTTAACATTGTCCTTGATGCATAAATATTAGCAATGTGCTTCGATTTATTTATTACATATTTTATATTATTGCCATAATTTTTGCTTTGTGATTCATTAAAATTGATTAAGCGTGTTACGATTTCCATGAAATAAATCATATGTTGCAAATATGAACATTATTTAATTTTTTATAGTTAAAAATTAAAATATTCTTCTAGAGTCACATTTTCTCTCTATATATATTTTTTAATATGAACAAAATTATATTTTGCTAAGTGTATAGTACACCTGAATGACTCACAGAAATATTTCTGTTGTGGAGATGCATTGGAAACTGTCTGATAGTTTCCCTTGTCAAAATATCAAAGTGATCTTATCATACCTAAAAAAAAAATAATTATATATTTATATTTCATGATATTTCATAATTTTATTTTAAAATCAAATAAGTATTATTTACTATTGATCAAAACGATCTGAATGAAGGAGGATAACGTGATGGTATACTCGTATTAATATGACGTGATAAATGTTCCCATCCTAAGATATTTGCAAGTTCTATACATTTTTCATCAACTTCTTTTAATGGATGTTCTTCATAATAACGTAATAATAACTTTAGATAGCGACCATAATGATTATTAATATGGGCATGCCATAATGAAAGAGAAATGACCTACAAGTAAAAAATAATAAATATTTTAATTTTTTAAATATATCTTAATTAAATATGTAATATTATTTAATAAATAATGCAATTATAATAATGAAACTTCTTGCCTTGATATCAGTTGGTTCAGCAAATTTTTGTACTTCTTGCCAATGATGTGTTACACTATCTAATAAATGTTCATAGGATTGACGATCTCCTTCTCCTTTCTTTGCACTGTGTACATATAATCGCGATAATGCACACCCTTTTTTCACTAATGCTTTTATCAAACTAAACTTTTGTTTTTCCATAGTTGCCCTAATTTTTGTTGCATCATCACGTTGATCGCTTTTCAAGCCATAATAAGCTAAGAGTTTATCTTGATCAATATTAGTAATTACAGCATCTGCGACACTTATTATTTGATTTGCCAGAGAAACAGATTCTTCTGAAATATCATCATGGGGTACATGACGTCGAGCTTCAGGAGAGTCCAAAGAAATCAGCATGGCAGTGTGAACAGGTAAATGATCCGAGAAGAGATTTTTCAATTCTCCATATAGTAGATTTGCATATTCACCAGGTTCTATTAATAATAATTTAAAATCAATTAATCTTTAATGTAATTACAAAAATACGAACATATATTTCTATTACAAACAATAGATAAGGCTTTTTGTAAATATTTGAAAGAAATTATGTATTAAATTATTTTTGTATTGAAATAATATTGATAAATATATAATAAATATTGTTCACTAATAATTTTTTTAACATCACAAAGGAAGAGAAATATTAAGATAATTTATTTGTTATGCATTACATAGTCGTGCACATAAAACAAGTGAAAATATAAAAAAAAATTGATATTATTATTATATTATTATTGATATTGATATTTAAAGAGGGTTTTAATAATAAACAATATAAGGTTTCAAAACAAACTTCAAAATTGACGTTTTATCGCATTCTAATGACTTACTCGTAGAAGGCGCTATTTGTAGAATTGAAAACCGGAAAGAAAAACAAAATATTTATATGATGATAGACTTTACATAATATATAATTATACATAACTAACAAGATAAATGAAAAATCTGATTACCAAGTTTTGTAAGCCAACTGCATTTGAAATCCCTAAGTGCTTCATTATATTCATCCCATTTAGTAGGCTTTTCTTTGTTTGATGAACTGTAAGAACTACTGCTACTACTGCTGCTACTGCTACTACTAGATTTCTTGTTTGGTTCAGACAAAATGTATTTAAATGTGTGACAATCCACTTTTTTTCCATTATCATCTTTGCAAAAAGTCAATGTACCCTGTAAATAGCTACCACTTCCTAAGGTAATACCTCTGGAAACTCTTTAAAATAAAACAAAAAAATTAGTTTCTTTTTAATTACATAAACATTACTGATTAAGTATCTCACTATAGAAAAACAATGTATAACTAATAAATTAGGATGAAAAAAATGCATAACATTTTTGTATTTAAAGAAATTATTTAAAGAAGCATTATGTGTAAAGAATAAATACATATAAAGCAAAATTCAAACAATATATAAAATTATATTAAAAATAACTGAAAAAAAAACTTTTTATAAGCCAAAAAAAACCAATTTTATATGATTAATAATGTTGATTTTTTTAATTAATAAAATGGTGCAAATATTATATTTATACATTTGTTTAAATTATAAGCAACAGATAAATAAAATTTTCTAAAAATAATTTAACATAAATATTAAAAAAAAATTAAAATGCTATGAAGCAATGCATAAAATAAAAATACATCTATTAAAATTATCTGCTTCAATAAATCAATTTTTGTTTAATCAAAAGCATGTAAATGTTTAAAAATGTTTAAAAAAAAATACTATAGACTTACTTGTTTTCAGAGCTGCAATGTGGGATAAAAAAGGAAAAAATTGAGTAATATTTTTAAAATATTTAATTTATATGAATAAAAATTAAAAAAATATAAAATAATAATAATAATAAAATTATTTTATATTTTTATTGATAAATATGAGAAAAAAATAATTAATAACAAATTTTAATAAGTATCTAATCTAACATGTTTTGAACATTTACATTTTAAATAGTGATGAAAATATTCATGCACCTTTTTTATTTGCATAAGAAAATAATATTAAGTATGCAAAATGAATATAGAATAATCTTAGAAAGAAACATATATCATATAAATTTTACAATAATTATATATCTTTCTTAACAACATATAAATAATAAAATTTGTAACTTTATTATAAATAATATGAAAGAGACAAATTTATTTTAAAATAAAATACTTACTTGTTTTCATTAGATATAGGAGCAATATATAAAGGAAGAATATGACCAGGTGGAACTGAAGCTGCTATCATTTTTTTGCCACCAATAATAGCTTGTGATTGACTGGCATAAACATCTAAATTAATTGGATTACTTAATTTATGACTCAAAAGAAACGGCATTTCTGTTAATCTATCAAGTAAATCTTTCTTTTCATGACGTATATGTATCTTCAAAGTGTAATCGCCTTTTTCTATTTTTTGATTAGAATACTGTAATAAAAAATAATATTATTTATTTTTTAATGTATTATTTTATAAAAATCACCTACTTTTGATGGATATGCATCTCCACAACAAATAAGTTGTTTATTACTGTCATATATCATCCACATTTGACTTTCATATTCACTTTCATATAATAAATCGCTAAGTAATGCTGCATTTGGAGTTATTTCAGTTGCCTTTGCACAATGGAACGTATATGTTAATTGTAATTCATAAATTTGTCGCGAAGGCGGAATAATATCTCGTTCTCGTAAAGGTGCAATCCTTGAATCAGTGGGCCTATCATATCAAAAAAGAAAATAGAACTAAATTAATTTATTTTCATTGATATATATATATATATATATATGCATATCTTGTACAATGTTTTTATTATACACACTTCAATATTTGTACGGATGATTTGAGACAAATACTAGGAACTACTTCTTCATTTCTAAGAGAACTTCGGACTTCTAAACGATTTATTCCATCTCCAGATTGCATTGTAAGATTCCCACTTATCATACGAACACCATGAAATTCTATGACATAATCGACTAACATATCGCCTATATTTGCCCAATATTTTGCAATAACTAGTTCTAAGATTAATCCGCCCTACGAAATTTTAATTTGATTTTTAAATAAACAAGAATTTAATTTATTAGAATGTATAAAAGAAATTAGCAATACCTGAACAGCAAATGGATGAACAATTTCTGATTGAGAAGTAACAGTAAACAATTTATTAACTTCGAGAGTCTTACAGGAAAGTCGAGGTTTCAGTTGAACGCTATGGATCACAAATCTTCCAGTTTTATCTTTTTCTGTGCTCTTTAATCTAATCACTAAATCAGATCGTATTAATATCATTTATTTCATATATTCAATATTGTGCATATGAAATATTACAAAAAATACATACCCGCCCATGTTGCATCTTCAGGAACGAGAATAAAATGTCGATAAATTGTATTCGGTTTAAATAAAATATTTGTATAAGTTAAGTCTGGAAGGATCGCAGTTTTTGGCAGTGTTTGTGGTTGCACTACAGTTACTGGTATTTGGAACACTGGACCTTTTGCAACATCTGTTACATCATAAGCGCGGACACTATAAACGACAATTAATATTAATATTATACAATAAAATAAATATATACGATTATAAATATTAATTTGGATATATTTACCTAGTTGTATGAACACCTTCGGGTAAATTGAAGCCATCGACTTTGATCGCAAATGCACGAACCATATTCATTAAATCAAGATGTATTGGAAAATGTACCCAAGATGCATCGCATACCAAAGTCAATTTCAAATTGAAAGCAATTTTGAGTGCTGGATCTATAAAATTCAAATATTATAATGAATTATATTTGTAATATCTTATATAATGAAATTATAGTATCAGAATAACAAATATATAAAATTATACCAGTATTTTCACTATTAAGAAATACAGGTTCAACAGTAATGGCATAATCTTTTGGCCGATCAATAATGCTGCTTCTCATATGAATTCCTTTAGCGTTATTTGGACCACAGTTAATGGTAAATCTTACATCTCTTTCAGGTACATCACAGTAAGTAATAAGATTATCGAATGCACGTTCGACTTGTAATAATCCTGAACCTTGTGCAAAAGGATCTAGATTTTGTATATAATGAGCTGTGTTTTCAAGTGCTCTTTTTATACTATATGGAGAATAAGAACAACCTTTGGCAACAAGCCCTGATATAAGTATTGCTACAATATAAACATTATTATTATTAACATATATTTCTCTTATTTGTAATATTTTATATAATCTTTATAAAAAAAAAATCAATATACCAATAGCTCCAGTTACATGAGGAGCTGCCATGCTTGTACCATTCATGAGTTGACTTTTTCTTAAGGTAAAATTGGGAACACTAGTTATAGCTCCTCCTGGAGCACATACAGTAATTCCAGCTCCACCATCAATCATTGGACCACGAGATGACCATGTATATGACATACCAGGCATTTTTTCTCTTAAAGAATATTCAGCTACCATCATATCAGGAGAAACGTAAGCACCAACACTAATTACACTATTAGAACTAATATCTGGTGGTGTGCCTATATGAGTTAAAATAAATGAGATATATTATATATTAAGTTTTAAATATATATTTAAGATTTTCGAATATTCTTATCAACTAACCAATAGTACATAAAGCAGGTCCAAGATTACCAGCAGATGCTACCCATGTTACGCCATATTTATCGATAACTTCATTCATTAATTCTCCTATTCTTCCCGTATTAGACCAATGAGCATGTTCTCCATAACTCATATTTATTACATGTATTTTCTCTTTGTGTTTCATTACATGTATCATTGCACGTACTACTGCTGTTCCTGTTTCCATTGTACCAATACGGCCATCTCCAACACTTAATGAAATAATTTGAGCACCAGGAGCTACACCATTTAATTCAGGATTATCAGGAAAATATGCAGCCGCAATTGAAGCTACATGTGTACCATGACTTGCTGCAATAATAAAATTAATTATAAAAAAGAAGAAAGATTTTGAATTAAATTTTATCTAATACTTACAGCATAAACTAACAATTTCTAATGTATTTCCATCATCATGAATATTAATACTAATATTTAATTGATCTTCAGGTATAAGTGGTGCATACTGCCTTGTTATAGTATATTCTCCTAGAAAGACACCAGCTTCCAAATTACCTTCTTCAGAAGTATCAATGCATGCTCTATAACAAAAAATATAAAAGATTAAATTAAATATTAATATTGTAAAAAATATTTTAATACACATGGAAATCCAAAAATATCCTACATATATTTTTACCTCCAAACTTCACCATCATGAAAAACAATACAGTCATAAGTAGGTCCTACATCCGAATATTTTTTCTCAATATTATTTAATATTTCAACTCTGGCTTCAAGTTCCTCTTTTTCTAGTCTTTCTTTTAAAGTAGTTAATTGTGGATTCTTTGCTTCAAATTCCTATGTAGAATAGTTATATAACATAAAAATCAAATTGCTTTTTTATTTATTAAAAATTACATGTTCACACAATATTTGCTTATATTTTAATTAAATTTATTCTTTTGTATTTAAGCATACTATTATAGAGAAACATTGCATACTATTACATAATGAATCAATGACTTTACAATAGATCAAACTGCCAATTATAAATATAGCATTAGATACAGATCACTGTGACACATTGTGAAACTGGCCTCATTTTATTGCATGGTTCAACATACCCACAACAACCCTATCTTTGGATCAAATGGTCTAAAAGCCTATTTATTCTTATTCTTAAATATTAGTTATTTTAATATATATAAAATTAGTTTATGTATAAAATATATAAAAATACTTTACAAAAGATTAAGATTTCCTATTTTTAATATGTATATCAATATAATCAAAATGCAATTATCAATTATTTACTTGTAATTGTCTAGATGCTTCTGCAAGTGCAGATTTATGATTATTATCCCATAAACGTTTTTTTCTTTCTACTAATACTCTTTCTCTTAGTTTTCCTGGATATAGTGAATATAAATTTTTTATTCCAATATGATATTGTCCACTGGGATTTACCCAATTAGATGGAACCTAAAAGAGAAATAATTTCTTTGTTTATTTATAGACATATAATTATGAATAAAATTAATGCTTAATGTACATATATATATATATATATATATATATATATATATATATATATATAATATATCGAAATATACCTTTAATTTACGACCAGTTATGCCAATTATGTATCCATCTGGTGCCTGTACAATTTTACTAGTATCTACATCTCCAGCTCCACTACAGTCATATCTTTCAATAATTTTTGGCTTTCCATCTGAAGTTTCCTATATGAAATATATATTCATTATAAAATTTAATATTTTATTTAAATTTAATTTTTCTCTTAATTTATAATATTGTTGAACAAAAATTACTATATTATTTTACAAAATATTTTATTAGTATTACACAACAAAAAATGTCAAATATAAATTTTTAAACTTCTAAAAAATGATCAAGACATTTCATTTTCCAACAATAATTTATGATATGTAATTCTATAATAAATATTATTCAACCGTATATTTATGTTAATATATTAAAAATTAGATATATAATTTAAAAATAATATGAAAAAAATCTTCAGAACAAATCTTCAAAGCATAATTAAAAATAAGAATAAATTAAAAAAAATAATAAATCTAAATAATGCCATTTACTATTAGTAACGTAAAATTATTCGAAATCTTTCACTTTGTACACAAAGAAAACAAAGAAATTTATAACGGAAACAAACGTACTTAGCAAACTAAGATTTTAAACAATATATATTAATACTACAAAAAATTAAGATACTTAATTAAATTAAAAGAAAAAAGAAAGAAGTAAAAGAAAATTAATTTTAATAATTGCGAGGCGTGTCTATATAAAAGCTTACTTACCTGCATACCAGGAGCTCCAGGATCAATCCCTGAATCAAAAATTGCAATGATGACTCCTCGACCATCATATTCAGGATATTTGGTAAGAAATTGAGTGACACCAGTTTCTTTTTTAGGTAAAAGACCCCAAACAGGAAAATTACAATCAATGACCTCTGCCATATTTCAAATACCACTGCCACCGCGACTCCAGAAAAACTACTTGAGATGTTTCCTTTGTACTGCCACAGCCTTATATATCAATCAAAAAACAGCATCTGCGCCTGCGTCAATGACTACAGAAAATTTTGAGGTTAAGTTATCGGTCCATGATACGTCAGATTAAATAGACAATAAATGCAGATAAGATATACAATAGATCTAATATTTAAAATCATTTTTTCGTCCCATGTTGCAGAAATATTAGGATTCTTTTACTATTTTATATGTGTCATTCTCAATGTTACGGATTCTGTTTAGAATAAGATATAATATTAACAATAATGATTGAAATTAAACTAAATTTCAATATAAAATAAAAAATGAAATAAATATTTTATTACAAAGACTCTGTTGCCTCGTATTCGATAATAATTACTGTTTGAATAGTTAACTGCATGATTTTACAAAATTATGAATTGTAAAAGAATAGATTTTATAGAATAATTTTAATAGAATAAATCTTCATAAAATATTTAAAAATTCCTTCCTATTTGCTTTATGATCGGACCAGATATTCATTTATTTAAATTTTATTACTGTAGCGAATTAAAATCTACATTAAAACTCCTTTCATATATCAAGGAATATTATTTTCTGTGAGATATTCTAAAAATATATTCTAAAGTTAAGAATATAATATTTATATACATTTTTTATTAAAAATTTTATTAAAACACAGTTTCAAGAGAAAAATAATGAAAGCGTTGTTCAATTGATATCTAGTATTTCATCTATGATTGCGCGCCAAGAGCAAGTATAGACAAGGAGAACAAATAATAGGAAAAGAATGGAGATAAAATAAAAATTCAGGAATCAACACAATATTTAGAATACCATAAATGAAACATATAAAGAAACAACAGAAAATAATAGGCAAAGTTAGAAATAAAATAAGAATTGATTATCAATGCCATCTTTTAAATGTCAAACAAATTTCTTTAAAAACGAAATAGAATAGAAATTAAATATAGCGCCGTGTTTTAAATATTCTATCTTACCCTTTTTTTGAAAAATTATCTTGTATTTTTTATTGTCCTATCGATTAACAATTCCTATAAATCCCATTTATGTATATACTTATTTATATTTTTATAAATAAAGTGATTACATTTTATTATATATTTTATATATAAATTTTTTATAAATAAATATAAATAAATTTATATATATATATATATATATATATAGATTACATGTAAATTAATTATTATTACAATAAATTAAAACTTATATATAAATAAATGTTTCTTTTTTTCTTTATTATTCATCTCTATATTCCTCATATATTCTATATTTCTTGCTTATTTAAATGATTTTTAAATTATAATATAATTCGTTTTTTTCTTTCTTAATTTTACCCTAATTATTGATGAAACATATTTTACCGGTAAGTAAGATACCGATCAAAAAGTTTTCGACGCCAACGCCATCTCGCGTTTGGATTCACGAAGCTCCGACTCGTTACTAGCATAACATGATACGCAAGGAGGTATGCGAAGTCATAGACAAGGAACACAACATTGTGCGAGAAGAACAGAGAATATTTAAAAATACGCCATATGGAAAAATCATTAATTATTCGTTTTTTAATGAAAATTTCTGCACTTTTGAAGCATACATCATGTAGCTAGAACTCCACGCAATTTTCTCATATCAATTTTAATACGAAATTCTTCTTATTTATTTAATTATTAATAATTAACGCGTCATATGTTCTAATATGTTCTAATACGTTAAAGACGCTATATTGAAAATTCATTAATTATTCATTTTCTACTGAAAATTTCTGTATTTTTAAGCATGCATCTTGTAGATAGAACTTCAGGCAACTTTCTCATATCAATTTTAATACGAAATTCTCTTTATTTATTTAATTATTAATAATTAACGCGTCATACGTTCTAATAAATTAAAGACGCCATATTGAAAATTCATTAACAACTCGTTTTCTACTGAAAATTTCTGCACTTTTAAGCATGCATCCTGTAGCTAGAACTCTAGCCAAATTTCTCATATTAATTTTAATAAGAAATTCTCTTTATTTATTTAATTATTAATAATTAATGCGTCATACGTTTTAATATATTAAAGACGTCATATTAAAAAATCATTAATCAAAATACTCGTTTTCTAATGAAAATTTCTGCACTTTTAAGCATGCA